TGTGTGTGTGTTTGTGTGTGTGCGTGTGTCTGTCTGTCTCCCTGCCTGCCTTTCCGCCTTTTCCGTTCTCATGGTCTTGTCTAAACAGTATCACTGCGTAAATGATGCTTCAACGCCTACTCGGCATCGAAGCTGCTTTCATCGTTGTACTACTCGCATCATTAGAAGTAATTCAATCTTTCAGGATTCAAGCTCACGTTAAACACGACCTGACCGCGTCGAGCGACGGTAATGCTCGTAAAATGTCTTGTAGCAAAAACGTAAAAGACGTATTTTCGATATATACAGAAGTCTGGATACCGCGTCACATTTACTGAACGGTATCTAAGTGATTACATTATTGATATTTTAGTTAGAGCCAAAAAGAGTTATTTGTGTTGTCAGATACGCAAGCATGCAGTTAGGCGCCTTTCATAACTCGATCGACTCTGTACCATGTTAAATACGATTTTATGAAAAATTCTAAAATTTATATTTATATAATAAAACAAAGCTAGTAACTGCCAACACACACTTATACCACAATTAATAACAACAGCAACTACAACAACAACACCAACAAAAACAACAAATAATAATAATGGTGATGATAATAATAATAATAATATTATTATTATCTTTATATAGAATTCTATGTTCGGTGATCAGGTGATATACGTTCATTTATTCTTGCGCAATAGCCATAGAAATAGTAGATGACTATTATGCGAGTAGTTAGCTGAATGCATACGAACGCGTAGATTCGAATGACGACGAATTGGCTTCGTCTAGAGAGTATTAAAATGGCTGCACGAGCCCCATTACTCATAATAGAACGGTCGATGCTGTCACAGCGACACCGCTAGAGTTATATACGTAAGAACAACATGCAACGTAAAAAGTTCGATTGTTCGTGTCGCAATTTCTCAGCAAGATTCGTCATGCAGCGAGTCTGTACGAGGAGGAACGTGTTCCTGCAAAGCTCTCGGCTTTATAATTTCTAAGCTCTTTCTCTCGGGGGAAACGCAAGCTCTTAATGGCATCCGAAAAGCGTCACGACCACACGCGCCACGCGAAGCCGGGAGGAGAACCGAAAACGCTTCCAATTAGTTACGACACGGCGCGGCTAGTAACGGGATAGCGGATACGGAATAGCGGCGTGACGGGATAGCGGAGGAGAAGAAGCACACACACACGCGCGCGCACGCACGCACGATGTACGCACGCGCGCGCACACACACGCACGCACACACACACATAGTCACGTTCGCTACGGTAGAATGCTGCCGTTACGTATACGATAATACCGATTATAGCGAGAAGAATAGATGAAAGTAAAGATATAGAATAGACATCAATCTATTTATATATTTGATGAACGTGAGAAGAGGTAGCTAGACTCGCACATAAGCCACGAAGATACTGCTGGTGGTTACACAGTTAACACGTGCACACGTAGATGATCATACACGACACTGTAACGCGGCCATGTTAGAGTGCGAGACACCGACACATAGACGCCGAGTGGCCAGGCACGGGGCTTCTTTTCCTGGCTCCTGACAGTAAAACCACGTGCTATAGCTATTAGGAGTTGTAAATAAATAAACGCTGTTTCAGTTTCGACATAAAACGTATAACCACTCGCCAGAAATAACACTTCGGGACACCTGCCAGATGAGATGTTTTTCATAGTTTCGTTAAAAAAATAAATCCAGGGCCATTCGACCGTTATTTAAGACGGCGGATGTGAATTAACATACCATGCATTTGAAAATTCTAGAAAAGAAAAACGATTACTGGAAAAGAGCTCTTGATAATAAAATGAATGATATTATGATAAGAGAAGTTTTACGAGAACGTGAACACGAGTCCGCTAACTTTCACATCTCACAAGAAAAAGACAATTGTTTCGCAATTACAAATTAGTGAGAACTACACGCTTTACCCCATCTCTCCGTTTCCCTCGCCCTAAGTCACCCACGCACCCCAACCTGATTCTATATGTCACGTCTGTTCAGCTCTTTACCAGCTCTGCCGCTAATTACAGCATGGGTGTTGGTCTCGAATAGACAGACTAGTTGCTGCAAAGATAGCTTGCAACTCGTGCGCTCTCTCGATCACGCAATATTACCTAGTCCACGGAACGAAGAATCGCATCTGGTCGCGACTAAATGTTACGCCATCTAACAAGACGTCTAGCAACATCTGCTCGTGGCGTGCACGTCTGTCTACGAACTTTCTGATATGGTGCAACATAATATACATACACTACTTGTAACGCGTACACAGTGCGCTCACGCGTGGTCGTTTACGAACTTACTGATATGGCGTAACATACACTACTTGTAAAACGTACACAGTACGCACACGCGTGGTCGTCTGTTTTAATCGAACGGTTCATCTTTCGCCATTTTAGCCTCGGGTTAGTGATCGCATCTGTCGCGTGTATTTTCGCATTTTCTGTAACATCAAACGTGCGACGTTCGCACGCACTCCATTATTCCCGTTACGATCATTGGCTGAAATTAATACATCAAATATAATTTGACATTCTTGCGCGACATATTTTCGTCGTAGGCTATAATATATAACGTCGTAGGCTGCACCTGTGTATAGGCGTCAGGTCACGTTATGGAATTACGATTATTGATACCAACGCTGACGTTAAAATCCATTAGAGGACCCTTACTTCAAGGTCACGTCCTACAGAATATCAACGCACCGGCAGGAATAAATCAACCGACATCAATTGCACACTGACACCCTTCGTTCTTTCGTTTACTTGTATTTTCTTTTTCCCGCTCTATATACTTTCACTCCTTTTCATGTCTCACTATGCTCTATTCCAATCCCAATTAATTTCTCTCAATCGCGCTCTGTTCGCGCCCCCTCACCCTTTCTCTTCTCCCCCTCCCTTGTTCTCCTTCCCTGTCTCATTCTGTCTGTGTCTGTCGCAGCTCCATCCATTCTTCCCTTCTCTCTGCTCATTTCTCATATCAGAGAATATCATATCATTTCTCTATCACTCTTTCGTTCTTCCTTTCCGTAAGTCGATCGACGGATTCGAATGCTGGTGGTATGCAAATAACGTCGAGCTGGATTTATGCCATGTTAATACCGCGCAACGCGGACGCGACCAGCGTGTGCGCACAGAAGATTTCATTTTCGTCGTCCGAGCAAGGAAGCATACATTAGCGTTCTACGCCGCAGCCTCTGCATGATCCACTTCGTTACTCGTCAAACTACAAAAATAGCGCGGAGTGTGTGACGCTCGATATATAGGAAACGCGTGCGCGCGCCACTACAGACGCGGTTATACAGCAAGATGGATTACATTCTATAGCCGCGCCACGCAACGACGAATGCGTCCGTTTACAAACACCGCCGAAAGCAGCGCCCATCCGACATCATCAGGAGCGTCAGTTAGCGTCAGCCGGTAGATTTATATGCGGCGTCATTCGTTCCCAATGGAGTAGACATTACGCAGCTGCCGCCCCGGCTAAGGAATGTGTGAGAGAGAGAGAGAGAGAGAGAGAGAGAGAGAGAGAGAGAGAGAGAGAGAGAGAGAGAGAGAGAGAGAGAGAGAGAGAGAGAGAGAGAGAGAGAGAGAGAGAGAGAGAGAGAGAGAGAGACGAGACGAGACGAGACGTACGGTACGACGTACGGTACGGTACGGGTACGGTTAACGGTACGGTACGGTACGTACGGACGGTACGTACGGTACGTACGTA